TGTTTCATTGATCACGCACCAGCTTGTTCGGATTGATGCGTCCCTTTCCTAACCATGATGTCAACTTTAAATCTTTCGGGTAAACTTCGTAACAATCTCACACGAATACACAATCCAATTAAAGTAGCCATGGAACAATGCGGTATGGTAGGGGTGAATTCGATAAGCACGCGATTGTTCTTGCTATCGATTTTCACATGATCAAGCTGAGTAACATTCAATTCCTCGAGGGTTAGCGGGTGCTCTGGATCAGAGATCGACCGAATGAGGTCTAAACAAAGGACGTTGTATGTGAGTTAATATAATACCTTCGTTGCAAAAAGAGCCAACTTGTATATAAGCACCAAAGATCTCTTGAGCGTCAATGGAATCCTCGACTTCCTCTTCTTCCTCTTCTTGTTTTGTTACAATCCTGCGGGATGCTTTCGAGCGTCCATAGATTGTTGGATTCACATTAATTAATTTTAACGATTTAATTATTTGTTCAGGCATTTTCTTTTGCAGATATGAGATCGACAATCAAGTATTCGTGTAAAAAAACTGACAATTAATTTAAAAGTATTGACATCTTAATATTTATTATACCTTATAATGTAAATAAAAACATGTCATATTGTCTTTTTTTGATAATACTAACTTAATATACTTTTTTTTCTTTTTTTTTTTTTTTCCTTTAATCAAACTGCTATTCGCATGTTTATTAATTCATTTGAAAAACAATAATACCATAAATGGCATTGTATATAGTTAAACTATCTGACATAGCAGAACACCTGTCAACAAGTTTCGGATTTGTATATGATCTTTGAATCCTTAATACCAAGACTACCATGTTGTCCACATGATCTAACTATTCACTAACTATTTCATTACAAGGAAATAAGTTCATTAAGCCATTACTGCGTGGTACTAATTATCTTAAATTTTTCAAATCCTAACTCTCTAGATGTGATTGTGGAGAATGATAGAATTACTCCTTCCTAAAGTTAGATATCTTTGATCTTCACTTCAAGAGATCAACACCAGCCTATACTTAGACTGTCACTCCAATATAACTTTGTTGTCCTAAGAAAAAAAAATTTTTTATTTTTCTAAAAAATAAAGGAGAGATAAAGAGGAAAGGAAAAATTTGTGTTGATAAATAAAAACCCATTTAAACCAATCGCCAGCCTAATAAGAACCTTCTTTAATCTTGAGGAGAAAAGAAATTGACACAAGAAGAGAGGAGAAAGACTTCAAGCCACTTCTTATCAAAAGGACACCTCAATGCCTTGCTCTTTTACCATTATCCAATCATATCATTGGTTATAATGTAGTATGACATAGAACACGTGGGAGTACGTGTCTTGTTTACTTTTCTTTTATGTGTTGATCAACCAGTCCCAAAATTTCAGCCAATCACCAACCAGAGATTCCGATATAACATAAAATTCAGGGTCAAACTGAGGTAGACAAAATTCCCCCAGAAAAACACAAAAAAAATTTGCCACACTTGAAAGTGCTATCACAGACATGTATGAATGGTGAAAAAAGTTTATACACCCAAGTGAATAGATTCCTACCAGCTTATTCACCTGCCTTATAGTGAGGTATAACACTTATGATGGACCCAAGGTTCTTATGGCACTTGAAAAATGCATTTACTTGGTAGGCCCAGCTAGCTTATTCATCTGCCTTTAGACCAAAGGTTGTTTACTTATGGTGGACCCAAGGTTTTTATGGAGCTTGGGAAATGCATTTACTAGTGATTTACTTTCTGGAGTTCCAGACCTAGGGAGAATATAATGGAGGATGTTTTTTCGATAGGTTTCTTTTTCCCAATAAGGTGTTCTTGCCATAAACCAAATGGGTAAAGTTTTGTTTATTTTGTTATAGAAATATCCAAAGTTTTTAAAAGAAAGAAAAATAGACAAGTGGGAGAGGCACTAGCCTTCAGGAAATAATGTTTTTAAAGAAAGTGTATAGACTTTATTATCAAAAATAAAGAAATATTTTTGAGAATGTCTGTTTTTGGATTGGCAAAAGGATCAGCGAAAAGAGTTTTTTTAAATAAAGGTTTCTTGTTTCTTCTTTGTTTTATGATATTATTTAACCAATTAAATAAAAGTTTGAACTTGTTTCTATATAAGCTCAATAGATTTGGATTGATTTGAGTGAATTTCATTGCTCCTGTACTTGTACTGGTAGCTTGATAAAACTCAATTTCTTGAGTAACAGAGTTGTTTGTTTTCTTGAATCTGTATCAAATAAAATCATTATTTTTCTTTTGGTGTACTTGCTATTTTATTAATAATTTTAATTAAATTAATAAAATATTAATGAAATTAATCTTTAATTTTTATTAATATAATTAAAAAAAATCTTAAAATATAAAAACAAAATAAAAATTTAATTTCAAATTTTAAAATCTTTTTCCACAGTTATCTCAAAATCCACTTATCGTCTTTTAGCCTCCCAGTATTTCTTCAAGATACATTGAATAATTTTTGATGAAGATTCTAAATACTTGTTTCAGGCCTAAGCCTCTAAGTATAGATATTGGAGGTAAGTAAGTTGCTATATCAAGGCAAGCAGATCGTATTAGAATACCTTGACACTTAAAGTCTGCAGTCACCAATTACAGTATTTTAACCATTCAGTTTAGCCAAGACTTATAAGAATTTAGTCAGTGAGATATTATTGGTGGGATAAGGATACATTAGTATATCAAATTCATCTGGGAATCAGACCCAGCCTCACTCTTCTTAATTTAACCTAGCAACACATGTGAGAGATTATGTTTTATGGGGTCATGCAGTCAACCATCACAAATATACCTCTTAGAATAGAATATCCTGTGATATAAGCAACCTCTTGTACCCTGACCAGATCCTCACTATCATTGGACATGTGAAACTCTTACTGATAGTTGTGTAACTAATGGTTTTAGCTATCTGTACATTTCTTTCTACTATTGAAAAGATTTCATAAAACTTCTTTCTCCTTTTGAAGATATTTCCCGGGTAATACTTGATCAGAAAGTTTACCAATCAGATCATCTATCTTTTTAACTTATGGGATGTAGTCTACCTATAAGGCTCCTTGATTACTGAAACAACCCAAATCATTCTCTATTATAAGTTGCAAGGGCAATAACACAAAGTCCTCATTGGAATATATAAATTGTCTTTCAGCTGAAGTTGAATCATGATTCATAGGTTAGCCCTATCCTGGCTTAGCCTACTGGACTATAATCAGGTAGGTCTACTTATATAGTATTTTAATATAATGTTTTAAAATAATTAAATTTTATAATTAAAAATAGGTCCCTAAATTATTTGTGAGGACATAATTCAAATGTCCCTTACTATTAAAAATTTTCATTTCTATATTAAAGAATA